ACTTATTCTTAATTGACAATTTACCGTCTTGCATCGCAGTCCAAATCTAAATAACACAACCATAAAGTCTTATTTGAAACTTCCGTTGTTAAGTGAACAAGTAAGCGTTATATAAAATGTGTACTTTAGAGTAAATAACAAGTTAAAGTACATCAGTTGATTATGGTAAGTGTAGGTTGGCTTATCGAGGAGCCGTGACCTTCTGATTGAGTACGTTGTAGGACACGCTCGCTACTCATGTCCTGCGCAGACTATCTTAGATCTGAATCATAGACAGTACACAGATTATGACTTTACAAATACCTTTAAAACAGAAACTTCAAAATGGACTTAAATGTATTTAAAACCAATATTTCTTATATCTATTGATTAATATTGTGTAAGTAAGAAGATTCAATATAAACTAATATTTATTAAATTTATTGATAAACGGTGTATGAAGATTATGTTATTTGGAAGTCGGTGCAACATAGTATATGTAACTAACTAATAGCACCTAGGTATCTAGATTTTGACAAAGCGTCAAAAATACAGCAAAAAATATAAACACAGGTAATAAAAGACCTACTATTTAACTAGTGTCTGGAAATAAAATAAGTAATAAGTTTTAAAATACCCTCCGTATCACCTCGACGTCCGTCGTTCCACAACTGAGCGTTTCTTACGGCAATTTTTGCCGCGCCCCACCACTACGTGGAACCAACTGCCCACTGAAGTATTTCCGAACCGAATTCGACTTAGGGATAGGGAGGGACCTTTAAGAAAAGACCATACCAATTCTTAAAAGACCGGCAGCGCGCTTGCGAGCCTTTTGGCAGTGTGAGAGTCCAGGGCGGTATCACTTAACATCAGATGAGCCTCTTGCCCGTTTGCCTCCTGTAACATAAAAAAGGGGTTACCAAATTCAGGAAGAACTATGTATTTTGTGCTTTATTAATTAATATTTACAATGGGTGATATCTATTATAAAGAATATTTAAAAATCCAATTATGGTACAACTTGGAAATTTAGATAATTATTTAGCTACATTTTTCATTACTTGCATCTTTGGGGAAATTAAGTAAATTTGAAATTTGCGTTTAAAATACTTAAAGTATTAAAGTACTTAAAATAGTTTTAAAAATATTATAAACTTAGAAGTAAAAATCGTAATTTAAATACAGTAAAGTCGTATTGGAATGTTCTAGGTCCTAGGCGCAAGTAGACGTCGAATCGTGTATACTCCATATCCCATAGGTTATGACCTATGGGTCTCCAAAAAACAATGTATACGTTTTACTAGAGTTTATATGCATAGGGACAATACTCGGAATTCTCGTTCATGACTATGTTATACGTAAGTACATATTATAAATGTATATCTGCATCAAGGCGGAATGTCAGTGTCCCTTCAAAGGCATGTAGGCAAAATAATGAAGGTTAGCTGAACGTGCCTTAGATGCTCTTGCGATGCAACCTATCACAACATCTTTATTAAGTTTAATTTTCGTTATACAGAATGGTACACGTTTTGGTACACGTTTTAAGTAAAATTAACAGACGAAAAACACATTATTAACAGACTTCTGTTTTCGTGTGGTGAATATAGGTTTATCATATAAAAGATCATATCATAAAAAAAAAACGTAAAAAAATATATTTTTTTTAAGAACATACATAAAATGCCAGCTTCCTGCTCAATGCTTGCTCCAATGATTTTTCCTTCGATGTGCACGAACGCGAACTAGGACGGCATACATGGTGAGGAACCGACATGTCTGTAACGCAAAAATGTACAGGCTTGCAATTCTTATACTATACCTAGTCCAGCCATAAGTTCTGTTACAAATAGAAATGCAATGCATGCAAAGAAGCTGGGTAACAACTGGCTTTAATGGTTTAAAATATGAGCTTAAAACTAACACAAAATAAGGGGTCGAGGGGTTGAGACGCTAACAAAAACAAACTTGGCTATACTATAAGGGTTAATAAATCTCAATGACACATATGTTATTAGACATATAGATATATAGAGAAGAGAATGTTAAAATACAATTTATAAGACATCACAGGAGACCGAAGATCTGGCAGCTACCTCGGACAAAGAATTAGTCTAGCAATTCAAAGGGGGAACGCTGCCAGTATCTTCGGATCCTTGCCTAAAGGGACTCCTTATATTGATATATTTTAGTTTATGTTAAGTTTAGTTATTTATTTCAATGTATATTATTTTATTATTATATAAGTGATATTTATAAGTGTGGTAAATACTAAAAGCCTCAATATTGGCTTCAAGTGTACGACGATGTTTTCCTTCACCGTTCGAGCGAATGGTAAATGCGCACATAGAAAGAAAGTCCATTGGTGCACAGCCGGGGATCGAACCTAGGACCTCAGGAATGATAGTCGCACGCTCACTTAATTACTAACATTAATGAACATATTAATATATTTTACAACAATCTTTCTACTTACCGTAATTTTTTTTCACTTTAATGAGGTTTAAGTTTCTATTTAGTTCGATTCGTTTTTTTTTTGCTGTTTTTAATTTTCTCCTTGCTAGTTTGAAATTTGTACGTTGTAATGTATTTGATGTGTATGTGTTTAAAATTTGTAAAGTCATATTTTCTTTTATATTTTAAGCATACCTTGTTTTAGAACTTATAAATAAATTAGATACAAATATTAGGTTTGTAAGTCACAATGTTTCGTTAAATATTTACAAATGAGAGCTGCTCTTTTTGAATATCAAGCAAACTGAAAAATCCTCGCCTTCGGATATACAACGCCACAGAAAATCTAGGCCTAGTGTTTAGCGCATCTGTGAACTAAATAGGCTTCCTATTTAGGTCACAGTTTTTTGTCCTCCAGTCATCGCAACGTTCTTGAACTATTTCAATGATAAAAGTGCGCTTTCACAGATAGGCTGAAATTCAGGCTAGGATTTTTGTGAAGGTTCCCCCGACGAATTGAAACTGTTTTCTATACCGTGAATATATAAAAAGAGTTTATAAAATATTTGCTTTTTAATCTATTACGATGTGACCAAGTTGTTATTGCTATAATACAATGCCTTTTTGAGTGAGACTTCATTATCGACGTATGGGAGAAATTTTGTAGCAAATCGTCACATTTTTCAGTTACGCGCCATCTTTTTCTTGTCACTACCACGGTTGATCCGACGAGATTCGAAGCCATTAATAACAAAAATATATAATAACGATAACAATGATAGTAATAATTCTATTACAATTACCTAATGAAATTCTGTAATAATCTTGGAAGTAATAAGGTAAAATGAAATAATTGTATTTGTATTCATGTCTATAATAATAAAAGCCTTTTATAAACTTTATCTAATTTAACTTTATTTAACCAATTTCTGTAAAGCACATAGTAGATCATTTTTCGAAAAATAAGATCATAAAGAAGTTTCACTTCTTACGTGTGTACACCTAGTACACGCACAATTTATTTATATAACTAGGGGTAAACGGGTAGGAGGCTCATCTGATGTTAAGACACGATGGATGGCGCGCGAATGCATTGGCGGCCTTTAAAAATTGGTACGCTCTTTTCTTGAAGGAGATAGATAGGGTCGTTATTTTTGTTATGATTACACGAAATACTATTTTGATCTAATTTATCGTAAAGTTTTCACCAGTTGCTTAAGTGTTTACGGCTAACGCAGTGCTTTCTTTTTTCTACAACTTCAAAATTATTGGTAAATATCCACAGACTAAAAAAACTTAAAAAAATTATACGATGAAATAACCTCCTTCGAAATTCGAAGTCCGTTTAAAGCAATGTTACAACGTGAATGCTGCGACTAATCTGTGATATTGTTTGTCTATGGATAAGAAAACTTGTAGAATCTCAGTTTTCCAATTTCAAATTGCACTCACATGAAACGGATATTCGAGATCAAAATCGGGGTCGAATGCACTACATGAATGAGAGGGCATCGGAGGGCAGACCGGAAGTGAGCTATGCGAGGGTACTATTTGATTGTAATGCAAATTCCTTGTTTCCGGCCGAGGGGATACAGGTGGGGGTCGCACCACTATTTATCCACTTAGTTTAAAAATTGATAACACGTGGGTGGATGGCACCTGGCAGAAGTTAAAGGGATTCCTTTACAATGATTTTAACTGGGTCAATTACAAATTAAACGCGAGTTTTATGTTATTTAAACATAGCTTGTATATCTCTTTTCTTAAACATATAATAAAATCAGTGGCGATACAACCTCTTTTAGGTCTGGGCCTCAGATGTCTGAATCTGTTTAATGATCATTTTTCAATCTAATAGGCAAGAAGGTGATCAGCCTCCAGTGCCTGACTCACGCCGTCGACTTTTTGGGTCTCAGACATGTCGGTTTCCTGACGTTGTTTTCCTTCAACGTTCCAGCGAATGTTAAATGCACACATAGAAAGAAAATCCATTGATGCACAGCTGGGGATCGAACCTACGACCTCAGGAATGAGAATCGCCCGCTTAAGCCACTAGGCCGACACATCTCTTCTTAAACATATACCATGTTTATTACTTAGGCAACTGTGTGATTTTAGTATAATGCAGTAATTATATGATGTCTTATAGGCGATTATCAATTGTAACTCTCTTGTGGACAAGAGAGACCCCCACCAGAAAGCTGCAATGATCGAATAAAAGAGATAGCGGGGAAAGATTTGAAAATAGTATTATTAATTCTGAAAAGGTGGGAGCTTGTAGTTTATTGTTTATCAGAATGCCAAATCATAAAATGACTGCTTCACGACTGATTTCAGAGCGACCGCCGATGCGAAAACCGCTGTGTGAGTTCGAAAAGTGAGTTACAGAATCGCAGGGCAGGTATGAGAGTCGCACGCTGGAGACACTAGGCCAACACTGCTCATGCAATGGTTATAGTAAAAATAAAAAATTAATTTTACTATAAAACAAACGTACAAAAATGTACACTTTACAAAAAACTTACATTCCCTTACTACGTGAAAATAATTCAATTTATGTGATTACCATGTTAATATCCTGTTTCCTGTTTAACAGGTGAGGGGTGAATTTGATTTAAAATAGACTTGGGGTGATCCGTAATTATTGCTTAGGAATCATTTGTAACGTGCCTGTGATTTCATTTAATTTTATGAATACAAGGAAAATAAATCAAGATTTTTAATAAATCGAGACGATTTATTTTAAGTTAATGTCCTTAATATCTCCATTTATCGATCTTAATATGTGCCCGACACACCGACTTTCGGGTCTAAGGCAAGCCGATTTCCTCACAATGTTTTCCTTCACGTTCAAGCGAATCTTAAATGCGCCTAGAAACTCCATTGGTGCACAGCCGGAGATCGAAGTTACGACCTCAGGGATGAGAGTCGCACGGTGAAGCCACTAGGCCAACTTTGCCACCTATATACCTAAGCTATACAAGCTATCAAACTCATAAACTAACATTTATTGACGGTAGATATTTCAAGAATACGGAAGAACGATTCCATTGGTGTCTAGCTGAAATATGAACTCACGACCCCATAGGAGTACGCCCAGCCACTAAGCTGCTCGGTGCTGTAAAACCTTTTTGCTTACTTTTATTTTAAAAAAAAGGAAATTACAATAAGAACGTTGTTTTCGTTCTCATTCGATTCATGACTTGCACAGTACGAGATGGTAGGTTTGTTTCAGAAATGTACAAAGTACAGAAATGTTGTCTATTTTCTATCAGAATGGTACACTTTCACACACACACACAACACAGCCGAATAAGGTATTACTTAGTTATATATTTATAATAATCTTTATTGATTTATTTATTTTCTTAAATGTTTGAACCTTTGTGAATTATGTACTCCATCTTTGGTGTAATTGTTTTTTGTTATATATAATTTATGTTTGCTGTAGGATTATGAAATAAATATTAAAACCTTTGAATTAATTCTTTAATATATTATATATACGATAATAAATTGACACTTTTAAGAAGTCATATTACAGTGTCATTAGAGATATAGTATAGAAATTCAGGAAACATAGCTATTTAAAAAGCTACGCTGTTATAAAATGAGATTCCTTTACACATGCGATTTACTGGGGAAATTAAGATTATAAATATACTGAGGGACGTTACAGACCGTCGCCCAAGCGTGCGCAGACGCAGGGGGCGGCCACCCCGGCTGAAGGTCATTCAACCTCCCCTCCCCCCGCGACCGTTCCCCGTCCCTCACAATCACAGCCCTTTGTGAGGGCTAGTGGGGACAAGGTTCATTTCTTTGTTTTGAAATGCCTTCTAAGTCGAGGGGCCTAACAAAAACTGAATTTTGTTTTTTAATCCTGAGACGTTTTAATTCCAGTTTTGTGAGAAAAAGCTTTGTTGGAATGTCTTTGCAACTTTCTGTATATTGATGAAATAGGCGATAGATTTAAAGGATTTCATGATTTCTCATATGATAACATTGTTGAAGTATTTATTTCCACCACAAATATACGGTATTTCAATATTCGAAACCTACATAATAATAATAACAAAAAATGAATTGAAAATTAATACAAATTTAAAAAGTTTGATCCCTGTGTCAGTATACCTTTGATGCTGGCAGAAATAGTTCTCCTATAAAATACATTTCATAACTAAATGATAAGCATGCGTATTAGACAATTGATGTGAAGAAGATAGGAGAACCATTTCTCCCACCACATAAATTGGCCAGATTTCGCGTGGTAGGGCAGGTTCGCACTAGGAAGGAACCTAAACGCTACTTTTATGCATATCATGACTGGCTAACTTATTTGACGGACGCTGAACATGGTTCACTCAATGAGTGTAGGAGGATGACCTCTAATAGGCAACGATGGCAAAACGTCGAGAAGCGCATCACATCTGCCCCTTCTAATACTACTACTACATAGCGATCACGACCGCTCTGTCAACAGTGTACCAGATAAGAGGAATATTGAAGATTAAGTGCCAGTACCAATAAGCAACAAACAAAACTCGCTTTTTTATTGCCTGACAAACAAATGCTGAAAATCCGTATAGTTTTTTTACTTTTATCAAAAAGTTTTGAAAAGATAGCTGGCGTCGTTGCGCAGTCTGTAAGAAGAAAAAAAAACTTAACACATAATTAAAATAAACTTTCTTAATCAATTCTAGTCGTAGATTAGATCATGATTTATTCTCTTAATAAACAAGAGATCCCTCATTATGACTGAAAACCGCTTTAATCAAGCAGTCCTTACTTTAGTTTATTCATAGTATGTAGTCATCTATTTGTATATTTTCTATCTGCAACGGAAGGTCACCTGTTACCACAGAACTATATTCCTATTATAGGCTTCAGCCTCTTATAAAGATGTTCGATACCTGATGAGGCAAATATACTTTATTATTATCTAGAGTCTAGGACCTCGCATGCAATAGCACGCAGTAGATTAAGGATTAATTACGATTACGATTATTTATTTATTGGCCATCAAGGCCACACATTAGAAAAAATATATCAGCCACCCGATAGAATATGAATAATATTTTTTGTATAAATCTGCGCGTATTTGGAATTAAATATAGCTTTCATTAAGTAATATTTTATGGGAACAAATCGTATGGATAACGTATGTAGCCATTACGTAACAACATACTAAAGTATAGTAGGGGCACGCATTCTTTATATCGAAATTAATATAATCAGATGATCTATAATTAATACTTTACGCCGTCGACAAAGGCACCCTTTCCCAGTCAAAAAACAAAATAGGATTCACCCCACCCGCATACCGGTAAAGCAGCTCAATCGTATCTAATTGTACATTGAACTGAATTTATTTCAAAATGCATTTTAAACCTTATGTCACGTGCGATACAAGAAGGGAAGTGGCCCTTTATTTAAAACACTTGAGGGTAACAAATATGGGGGTAGTTTAATTTAATCAATTGCTTTTTTACAAAGACAAATAGTTCTAAATGTTAATCTTTTAATACCTGTCAATAGGGGCACGGAATTGGCGCGGCCGTTTCATTGGTACGACTCAATCCGAACCGGAACAAAATTTTAGCCGAGAATCGTACACAAGAGTACTATTGTTACACGTTATCTTATACTTTTTTTTAAACATATCTGTGTCCTGGCGATGTATTACCGTAAGAATAACTGTCAATTGTGTACACGAGGCTGAGGTTCTCAGCTCTCAGAGTAATCAGATTTCAATACATCGGCTGACACTGTTGAATTAAACACATAATAAATCCAAATTTGTGATAAAAAAAGGAAGCCACCGAAGTTTGTTCGTTGTTTGTTGTTGAAGTCCTTTTTAGCTTGGCTTATTAAGGAGATATGCTAATTGATCTCAGCTTCTTTTAATTGTCTGTCTGTTTAGTTCTGTCTTAATTGACTTGCTTGCTTACTTACAAATAAAGACGTTTGTTTGTAAGGACTAAAGAAATATTGTTTTTATTCCTGTAACAAATACTGCAGTGAAACAGACTTTCACAGAGAAAATATCTGATCAGTTGCTCCCCAAAAAATTGTTTCCAACACGGAAGTAATAAGGAAATTATTCGAGAACACTTTGACCACAATCGACAGTAAATAGATTAGCTATTAGGTAGTTTTCATATTTATTTCTTCCGTTACTTTCGCGGTATATTTCATTTCATAGTCGAGTTATTTTAAGGGGACAAACATCCCTTACTTAAATGTTTTTTACACTTCCTTCTTGATAAGTAAGGTTCTCATGGATCGTAACGTTCCAACGTATTTAATTAGTAAGTATTATTAGCTACAAAATACGTTAGAAATATAACAGTCGTATTCTTTTCTTTATTCTGTTTATTATTTTTATCAATTGTCAATATTATATTCGTTGATCGAATCTGTGGCGTAATTAGTAGCAGAAGTTCCCTGATTCAAAAATAATTAAAGGCACATATTGATAATTTACATGCATATTAAGAATAGAACTTAAACTCGTCTGGTGTTTCCATTGATTTATTTATTTTTTGAAGTACACTCCATTTTATATAATGCATTTTCTACGGTATATGTTACAAGGTATATTAAACATAAATTAAAAAAAAAACAAAATATAAATATTACACTTCCAAATTTTAGTTTTTACTAGTATCCCATTTTTGTTTAACAATGCGGGTTAGGTAGGTACACGATAGGCGCTTTTTTTATTGATCAGGCCACTACTGAATATGTCAAGCTCTGGATAAGTAGTGTTTATTCCGTTATATTTTAGTTTGGTTTCTACAGACGGAGTTTGGAAAATTCCGTCGTAATTTGGGACGAAAATGTTAATGTTCTGTATTTGACCATTTAACCATCTCTATAAGAACACCGGCTAGAAATCGTACAGTGACATCATTTTAAATTTCTTAAGTGGCTGATGGTACAGGTAAATTGGGTTACTGAATCTAATTGTTATCTAAATTACCAGGGAAATCAGTGCGACTCTCATTCCTGAGGTCGTGGTTCGATCCCTGGCTGTGCACCAATGGACTTCGCTTCGCTCGAACGGTGAAGGAAAACATCGTGTGGAAACCGGCTTGCCATAGACCCAAAAAGTCGACGGCGTGTATCAGGCACAGGAGGCTGATCACCTACTTGCCTATTAGATTGACAATCGATCATGAAACAAATTCAGAAATCTGAGGTCCAGGCCCAATTAGGAATGTAGCGCCACTGAATGTATATTTTTTTTGATATGGCATATCATTATGTTTTAGTAATGTTTTGAAAATGAAATATATAAAATGTTATAACACACATTTTTTATTCGAGCAATGATGTTTCAAATAATTACCTCGCACATTTGACGTTAGTACTTTTAATATTAAGAGTTTTAAAGTTTTTGTGTCACGTCTTTGAATTCATAAAAATAAAAGTATACAAGGCTCAATAAACTTCAATTACATTTCACGGATGCAATTTAAGTTTACAATAGTGAAAGGTTTTTAGAATTTAATCAAGATGCAATTGTTGACTTTTGTTGGGATCGTTAGAATGGAATATATGTTTTCTTTATTCGAATAAAGATATATAATGTACTCGAGTACATTTAGAAAATCTGGTTTAAATATTTCTACTTCATATGCAAGGTTATAGGATTTCACAGACAGCTAGTGGTATAACAGGGTGTTAAAAGGTTCCAACATAATACTCCTGAAAGAATGTTATAAAGGATATACATTACATACAAAAGCACTGTCCTAAACCAGTTCGATTCCCGACTGTGCATCAATGGACTTTCTTTCTATGTGCGCATTTAATATTCGCTCGAACGGTGAAGGAAAACATGCGAGGAAACAGGCTTGCGTTAGACCCAAAAAGTCGACGGCGTGTTTCAGGCACAGGAGGCTGATCACCTACTTGCCTATTAGATTGCGAAATTATCATGAAACAGATACAGAAATCTGAGACCTATAAAGGTTGTAGCGCCACTGATTTATTTGAACACAATTGATTGTCGTAGATTTGATCCCCAGCTGTGCACCAATGAACTCTCTATCGCATCTAAAACTACTGTGAGACTTGGACTATTAAAGTAGACACAAAAAGGCACTTCGAAGATTTTGAGATGTGGTGTTACCGCCACATGCTTCTCACCAGCTGGATCGAAAGAGAACGAAAGAGTCCTTCAACGAATCGGGACGACACAAAAGTTAGGTTTAAAGACTTTATTTTCTCAAAAAGACAAAAAAAGTTCACTTACATGAGAATAATACTCTAGATTCACATAACATTGTAGTTATTCTTAAAATAATCACAATAAAATATAGCCGTACATGCAATAAACTTAAAAAAAAAGTTACTAAAGAAATATGAATTAAAAGTAATTATAAGAAATTAATTTAAAAGTAATTTTGTTTCACATATTCACTTAGCTTCGATTTGAATGAATTGATAGAAGTAATATTTTTTATATCTGTGGGTAGTTACATACATATACAGCTGTGCGCCTTCGTAGGTAAACATTTTTTTGCCGAAGTTCGTACGTACTTTAAGTAATGCAAGATTACTCGTTCGACGCATACTTCTATGAGTCACACGTGGCGGTTTAATTCAGAAAAACAAACCGCATATCTCGGTCACGTTTTGTGTCATCAACGATACTTGTTGTAGCTTATAATGATGGACAAAATTCGAAAGAGATGGGCCGATAGAGGGAAGAAGTCGTGGTTGCGGAACGTACGGGCGTGGACCGACATCACATCCGCCGAACTGTTTAGACTAGCGCAATGGCATCTGAAGAAGAAGACTTGCTAATACGATGAAGGAAACATCGTGAGAAGCCCGAAGACTAAAT